TCTTAATCAATCACAGGACTTTATCAGTTTAGTTGCAAATGCTAGAAAAATCCCCCAAGTAGCAATAGCTGTGAACAGAGAGTTTATTTCTCTCTCTCATATAGTGGACATCTGAAGGCAGGAGGCCCAGGGCTGGGAGGTGACTCCCCTTTGCCAGGCTCTCCAGCAACTACTATCTTGCTGCTCCTTCACCCTTGGTGTATTGCCTTATGGTCCAGGATGCTGCCCAGGCTGCTCCTACCTGCATGTCAGGTAAGGGGAAGAGGAAGTACGGGAAACCCTGCAGCCCTTCCATTCAAGGAGATTTCTTGGCAGTCCTGAGTGACACACCTGCTTGATTTCATGGATCAGAACTTGCATACAGCTCACATGGACCTGCCAGGGAGGAGGGGCAATGGAAACYGAGCTGGATGGCACTGAGCTAGTTACTGGATTCTTTGAAGAAAGAAAAGGGAAAGATAAATTGGTAGGCATATTCTGACCCAGTGACCTTGACCAAATCACTTTTCCTCATTGGACTTTAGCTCCTCATCTACAGGAATTGGGGGCATTGTTGGCATCTTGGGTGACACAAGACTTCACTGTGTACAACTGTTCTATGCCGTGTCACACATTTAGCATCCCTGGGACTTGCCTATTAAAGGCCAGTAGCATCCTTAGGCATGGTGACAGTTCCCAGGCTAATAATCCCACTCTTTCAGGGGGACAGTACTACCTGCTGTTGGGAATCTGTGGACAAGATGGTTCTAAAGTCTAACAGTGGCGTTCTGTGCTCATCTTGGTCCTGGGATGCTCAGGTCTAACTTTATCGGTCAGACGGGCGAGGGGAGGGAAGAGGACCGAATGCACATGTCGACTTCAGTTCTACACGACTTTGGCAGGCAGGGGAAGGGTCATTGGTTTCTAGGTGGTCAGAGAAAGGGAAAGGGCAGAGGGAAGGAGGAGGCCAGGGCAGAACTTGGCAAGGCATGGGAGGAGTGAGACATGAACCCAGAACACCTGGCCCCAAGAGCACCCCCTGCCCCTCCACAGGCCCTTCTCTCGGTCCCCAGAATGAGGGATGGAGAGAGAAGCTGGCACGCTGGCCTTTGTCTGTCATGATGCCCTCATTACTGGCTCCCACATCCATTGGCAGGACCTCATAAGTGGGGCCGCCTGACCTTTGGGTGGCAGATGCTTTGTCTGGCCTTGCTGATCAAAGAACCAGCACCAGGAGGCCTTGGCACCTGGGCCAGTGCCTAGGCTCTCTGCCYCTTCTGCAGGACTCAACCCTAGCCTGCCCCTGTTCTTGATGGGTGGGTGGGGGGGAGCAATTAGGTGGGCCATGCTGTGCTCACCCCAGCGGGTTCTGATGGAGCCAGGGGGAGGACGTGTGAGTCACAAGAGTCACATTGCTGGCGTCCAAAACTGGTTCTTTTTTTTTTAAAAAATATTTATTTATTTATTTTTAGTTATATGAGGACACAATACCTTTATTTTATTTTTATGTGGTGCTGAGGATTGAACCCAGGACCTCACGCATGGCAGGCAAGTGATCTACCTCTGAGCCACAACCCCAGCCCCAAAACTGGTTCTAACAATTATTTATTTGTGTGACTTTGGACAAGTTGCTTGACTTTTCTATTTTGTTTGTTCTCTCACTTGCAAAATGGAGATAATAGGGAGATAATAATGGTCCATATTTTTCGGGGTTGCTGTGAAGCATAAATGAGACCATAGGGGCAGAGAATGGAGAGTAGTGCCTGGTGTAGAGTGGACGTTCAGCAAGCTGTGGTCATCGCTGTTCTGGGTGGAGCCACTCCTCTCCTTTTTTGGAGGGGGGTACCGGGGACTAAATTCAGGGGCACTAGACCACTGAGCCACATCCCCAGCCCCATTTTGTATTTTATTTAGAGGCAGGGTCTCACTGAGTTGCTCAGTACCTTGCTTTTGCTGAGGCTGGTTTTGAACTTGTCATCCTCCTGCCTTAGCCTCCCAAACTGCTGGGATTATCCCCTCTTTGTTCTGGAGAGTCTGGTGCAAACATGTGGCTTAGAGGGCTTAAGTGGCTGGCTTGAGATGCCACAGTGTGGGCAGGGCCTTGCCTCTTGCCAAGCTCTATTTTCCTCTGCCCCATGGTGAAGAGGAAGGCTCCCTAGGAGAGAGGTAGCAACCTGGGGTGGGATGTGGGTGGGGAAGGGGTGCAGGTGGTGGAGGGGGGATGTGGGCACACAGCCATTTGTGCTTGAAGCTTCAGACTGTTACCAAGGCTGGTGAACAGGGAGGTAGGACTGTGGGTGTCCTTGTAGGATCGAGTGGGATGGAGTTGGGAGTGGTCCTATGGAGGCCACATGGCAAGCTGAGCCAAATGGGTCTCCACTCAGAGAGGACGCCTGGGCCCCCAGCTGCCTTAGCAGGTCCAGAAGCTTGAGAGAGCCACCTCCTGCCACCTGCCTCAGTGAGATCATGGTCTCTCCTCCTGCATGCCTGTGCTCACAGTGCACTGGGCATGGATGGAGAGGGAGGGCCATGACTGGGGACAGCCGGAGCTTTTGGCAAGGGTGCTGGATCTGGAGTCAGGAGACCACAGAGCCAGGGTTGGTTCTATCATTCATTATCGCTGAGTGGAATATTTAAGCAACATAATAATTATAATGGTATCATTATAGATGCCAATGAATAATGAGTATGAATTAATAATGATAATAACTACTTTCTTTAGAGCTTACTCTGCGCCAGGCACTGTGCCAAGCGCTATCTTGAATGATCTCCTTTACTCCTGCCATCATCTTATGAGGAGTGTACACAGAGTTCGGTTTTCACAGGGGAAGCCGCACCAGGAGGGGTTGTTGGCTTGCTCAAGGTCACACAGCAGGTAAAGGGGGAGGTCTGGACTGGATGCCTGTGTCCCCTCCACAACTACCTGCTGCACTGTGGTTGGACAAGCCATTATTGTCTGTGGACTCTCTGGACTTCTCTCTGTTCATCTGCATTGCGATGGTTTTCAATATCCTGAGGGATGTGACAAGTATCTGTAAGTACATTTGTTAATCAATGATGTTTCATGGGCCCATATCTCCTTTTGTCACTCTTCTAGGTGCCAAAGACACAGCAGTGAGCCACAGGGGCAAGGTCCCTGCTCCTGGCTGGGGTGACATGCCATTACCAGATCAGTGGATAAAGCAGTACCGGGTCCTCCGGGCTCAGTGCTCTGAATCAAATAAAAGACAGATGGGCCTCAARCAGCTTCCTATGGGTTGGTGGAGAGGAAACATGTGCACTAGTGGCACTGGGAGGGGAAGCCCAATGACTTCAAGGCCCTGTAAAGAACTTTCCTGGTGAGCGTGGTGGGGAGGTTGTAGCTGGGTGCAGGAGGTAGAGGGAAGAACAGTTTGAGAAAGAGATAGAGAGTCAGGCAGGGCCCAAGCTGGGTGGGTCTTGTGGGTCCTGGAAGGGAGTCTGAATTTTATTTTAGGGGCAATGGGAATGTGGTTTTTGCAGAGAACTAGATCAACCGTGGAATAAACAAATAGAAGTGTTTTTTTTCTCACATGAAAAGAAAAACTGAAGCTGACAGCTGTTGATACTGGCTCGGTGGCTTGAGGACATTCCTGCCACTCTCTGGGCTTTCCACTCGCCGTTGTGTGGCTGAGGCAGCTCCAGGCATCGCATCTACATGCAAGGCCAGTTCTGCTTGCTTCTCCTCTAGCAGAGCCCTGCCAAGAGTGTGGGAAGGAGCTTTCCTGGCTCCTCAGTGGAGGCAGGAAGGAGAGCCAGGGCTGGAGGGTGGGGCGGGTTGGCAGTGGGGGCAGTGCACCAGGCTTCTCAAACCTGCAGGGCATGGGAGGTGGCCGTCTGGGCGTGGCCCAGGTTCTGCCTGGCAGACACGCTCTCAGGAGATGAGGATGGGGCTGGTCAGCTGCTCAGACTGTGAAGCACACAAGCAACACCACTGGAGAATTTTAAGAAAGTGAAAATGGATTTCTGTGGCTCTGTGAAGACTGCAGCGTAGGGGACAAGGTGGGAGTGGAGGAGACACCAGGAGATGAGTTAGGAGACCAGAAGGTTAGGATGGTGGCAGGGGACCTGAGCAGGAGGTTAGGTTTAAAAAAATAATTAAAAACAAAAATTCTAAACTGTGAAACGTATATAACATATAAGGAGTCACTCGTAAGGGTACATACAGTTAGTTCAGTGGCATTAAAAACACATTCACAGTGTCATCCAACCATCACCATCAATCATTTGCAAGAATTTCCTCATTACCCMCAATGGAAACCCAGTATTTATTAAACCCTGTGCCCATTCCCTTTACCCACAGAGCCCCGGCAACTGCCATTCAACCCTCAGTCTATGAATTTGGCTTCTCCGGGTACCTCCTAAGTGGAATCCTATAATATTTATCCATTGGTAATTGGTTTATCTCCTGGATCCCAATGTCTTCAGGGTTCATCCATGTTGTAATATGTGTCAAAACCCCTTCTTTTTTTTTTTTGTACTGGGGATTGAACACAGGGGTGATTAATCTCTGAACCCCAGCCCCAGCCCTTTTTATTTATTTATTAATTTTTTTTTTTTAATATTTATTTTATTTAGTTCTCGGCGGACACAACATCTTTGTTGGTATGTGGTGCTGAGGATCGAACCCGGGCCGCACGCATGCGAGGCAAGCGCGCTACCGCTTGAGCCACATCCCCAGCCCCATATTTATTAATTTTTTTTTTTAGTTGTAGATGGACACAATACCTTTATCTTATTTATTTATTTAATAATGTGATACTGAGGATCCAACCCAGAGCCTCACATGTGCCAGGCAAGTGCTCTATCACTGAGCCATAACCCCTGTCCCTTTTTTATTTTTTTGTTTTGAGACAGGGTCTTGCTGAATTGCTTAGGGCCTCGCTAAGTTGCTGAGGCTGGCTTTGAACTTGCAATTCTTCTGCCTCAGCCTCCTGAGACACTGGGATTACAAGCTTGTGCCGCTGTGCCTGGGAGACTTCCCTCTTTTTTTGAACATCCTGCTATATAAACAGATCATGTTTTGTTCATCCACTCATCTGTCGATGGACACCTGGGTTGTCTCCACCTTTTTGTTCTGAAGGATGACGCTGCCATGAACATTGGTGTGCAAGTGTCTCTTTGAGTCCTGTGGTTGAATCCAAAATGTGCTGGAGGAGGACCATGAGAATTTGCTGATGAGGGGCTGGGGTTGTGGTTGTTTCACGGCTGGTGAAACAGTGCCTTGCGCACGTGGCACTGCGTTCCATCTGGGTTCGATCCTCAGCACCACATAAAAATAAATAAATAAATAAGATAAAGATATTGTATCTATCTACAACTAAAAAAAAAAATAAAAGAATTTGCTGGTGGTAGGAGGCAAGGACACAAGGACAGGGAAAGGATTAAGAAGGACTCCTTGGTAGCAGTTAGGTAATTTATTAAGATGTGGAAGAAATTCTAAGATGCTTTGCAAATATCAGGTAGTTTTTTTTTTTTTTTCTTTTGTAGCTCTGGAGATTGAATTCAGGGACTCCAGATAGTATTATTTTATTCAGAATTGCTATTAGCCATGAAGGAACCAAAACATCCCTTTAATAAGTGATACACCTGGGGCCTGGGCACTCAGGTTTCTAGACTCTTTTAATAGCTGCCTGATTGAATCTGCAGTTGGCAAGCCGTGCAGTCCACACCTGGTCTTGTATGGGCTGAGAGCTATGAATAGTTTTCACATTTTTAAATGCAAAATGTAAAAAAAAAGAAAAAGACGACGTAGTCCTTCAGCTCAGACAGTTGCTCCATTTTGCCTCTTGGCCCACAAAGCCTAAAATATTTACTATCTGGCCCTTTGTAGAAAAAGTTTGATGACCCATGGCCTATATTAATTGGTTTGGCTCAAACTGAAGAAGACAGTGTGCTCAAGTGGAAATAAAAAACCAAACCAAACTGTTCTCCCTACTGCTGACCTACTTCTGTGGATTTTTTTTAAGTACTTGCTGGTCCCAGGACACAGTAAGCCATACCGCCCACCCTGAGTCCACCCTCTGCAGGTCACCTCAGTTAACAGCCCGGTCAGCTGAGCTGGTGAAACAGATTAATGCCATCCCAGTGCTGTTTACCAGAGCAAGTGATTTATTTAGCATCTAAATTTTAAATAGTGCCTAGGCTTCCTAGGCTGCTGTCTGGTTTAGAAAATTACCTATAATAAATGCATGCAATAAATCCTTTCTTTTGAACCTAAAGAAAGGTATTCAAGTTTTATATGAGAAAAACCAGTTTCTCACCCTCGCTAAATACATGTTGTGTAAATAATTAAAAACAATGGTTTGAATGGGTGCTAAATTATCAACTTGCCAAAATGCAATCACAGCTCTTATTTTTTTTCAATTAATCATGCATAATACCCATTGGCTGGCTTCTGCCTAGAGGCTTCTTCTCTTCTCCCACTGACCCCAGAATCCACGCCTCATACTCTGTCCAGTGCTTGTTCTGGCTTTGGACGTCTGCTTGCCTTACCTGTGCATAGCAAGAGGGGTTCTCAGGAGTCTCTTCCTTAGCTGAGAATATTGGCTCCAGGGTGACTTGCCAGTTCAYCTGGTTGGCAGCCTCTGTCCCATAAAGTTCTAGCATTTAACAAGCATTTATGCAGCATTCCTATGAGCTGGACACTGTCCTGGGCACTTGGACAGGGAGCAGAACAGCCAAGGTCCCTGCCCCCATGAGGCTGCATGGAAGGGACTTACGTTCTGCTCTGGAATACAGTGCAGTGCTGGGATCTCACCTGCTGGGTGCAGTTGTATCCAGGCCTCTGGGAAAGGCTTCCCATGAAAGGAGATCTCTAAAGGAGTCTTGAATGCCGAGTGAGGTTCACCCAGGCACATGGGCAGGGTAGAGGATGGGCACCATCTGTAAAGTCCTGGAAGTGAAAAGGAGCTGGGCAAGGTCACCCTGCCTAGAGTCAGGTGGCCAAAGTCAGGGAGGCTTTGGGAGTGCAAGGACCACTCAGGAAGATGCACCTCTAGGTGGACTGGGGCCCGATTCCAAGGGGCTTTGGGTACTTTGTAAGAGGGTCTGGGCATGTATTTGTGGTCTCCTTCTCAGGCAAACCGGCAGTGAGCAACTGTAGGGGGTGCCATTCACAAAGACTTCAAGACGGTGGTGCCCCTGGAGTTGAGTCCTGCCCCTGGTTCATGGTATCCCCCAAGTCTCCCTCGGAGGCTGGCTCGGTGGAGCTGGCAGGAGCAGAGCATCCTGACACACCCTCTCACCTTTGGAGTTCACATTGAATAACTTCTCTCCTTCCTCCTGCCTGCACGCCACACTTTCTGATTTAGGAGCAGAATTCATTAGCACCTGCTCTGCACTCTGTCTGGGCATCTTCAAGGTGAGGATGACGTCTCTGAGCCTTCTCCTTGGCTCAGAGGGTCTCTTGGTGTACAGCGTTTCTAACATGGGCTCAGCCTCACACCCGGGTCTCTGAAACAGCAGCAGGAGGRCGTGTAGGGAAGGCCTTCAGGTTTGGTCGTTGGCCGTGTGAACCTGCATCTTCTATTGGGAATTCAGACCCCTGCCTCAGGACCCCCAGACTTGACTCTCCAGGAGTCCAGAGTGGTTCTTACGTACACATAGTTCGAGGACTACCATATATGGGAGAGGTGCATTTTGGGGAGCTGACCTAGGTGCCCTTGACTGAATTCTATGCATGTAGCACCCAGGGGTACGGGGTCTTGGTTCTGCTGGCCTCTGCCCGGCACTATCCAGCTCTCCAGAGCTGCTGTCCACGGGGCTGTTGCTCCCAGCAGGGAGGGCGAATCTTTCTTCCTTAATCTAGACCTCCTTCCCTGGGATTCCTCCCCGATGGCTCTGGTTCTTCTACCCTCTGGAGCCAGGCCACGAGAAATGCAGTGCTTCTTCCAGGGGGACGGTCCCTCAGACACTTGAAAGGCCGCTGTCATACCAAGATCCTGGGAGTCTGGTCCAGTCTTTGACTATTTTTACCTCCAAACACTTGGCCTTCCCAGGTGCTATCTTGAGTAATGACTCTATGCCATAAACTGTGTGTTCTTTTTTTTTTTTTTTTTTTTGGTACCAGGTATTGAACTCAGGGTCACTTGACCACTGAGCCACATCATCATCCCTATTTTGTATTTTATTTAGAGACAGGGTCTCACTAAGTTGCTTAGCACCTTGCTTTTGCTGAGGCTGGCTTTGAACTTGAGATCCTTTTGCCTCAGCCACGGATTACAAGTGTGCGCCACCATGCCTGGCTGTGTGTTCTTATTTAATTCTTCCAGTATTCTGATACAGTTAGCTTTATTATACTCATTTTACAGATGAGGAAACGTAGGCACAAAGATGCAAAGAGACTTTCCTAAATTTACACGGCTAGATGGTGCCAGAGCTGGGATTCGAACCTAAGGTCAGCTAGACCACCAAAGCTAGTGCCATCATGGGGTACAGACAGGGAAAAAACAAGGCTTAGAGAGAAGTTAAGGACCTACATAAGTCACCCCAGAGCAAAGTGGTAGAGCTGGATATGATCCCAGAGCCTGTTCTTGGTCATAATTCCAAATATGGCCTTTCCACATAGTGGCCATGCTTACATCAAAAGCCCCACTGCCTTACACAGGGGCCGGCAGGTTCCCGTAAGCAGCCAAAAGAAATATCAGTTAATAGGATTATTGATTTTATTCATAGAGCTTGACACTGCCCCTATCTAATATGACTTATGTGTGTATTTCTGGGCGAGTATGCCTATCATAGCAGAGGGAATGCATTTTTAACTTGACATACTGGAAGATAACGGGAGTCAGTGTTGCTTGGGGCAGGGAAGAGACTTCAAACCATTCTCAAGAGTGACTGGTGGCCATTCAATACCACCAGGAGTATTTTTTTTAATCTTTCTTTCTGTGGATTAAACCCAGGGGCACTTAACCATGGAGTCACATTTATTTTGGGACAGGCCTTGAACTTGCAATCTCCTGTTTCAGCCTCCAGAGTCACTGGGATTACAGGTGTGTGCCATCACACCCAGAACCAGTAGTGTTTATTGAGCACCTGGTTTATGCCCAGATGTAGAGGGCGCCTGTACCAGATCCTATGCTGTCCTTTCATAGTCCCACACCCTTCCTTTGGGCTGACTCAGGTTTTGTTTTGGTATTGGGGGACCATGTGTTTCATGACCTCCTCTCCAGCTCCAAAGGCCAAATATGAATTGGCCTAAATCACCCATTCCTAATCGCTGCTTACCCACAGTGCCAGTCCTCTTGCTCATGGTTGCTTTAGATCTGGGCATGTGATAGGTGCTCAATGGCCAATCAGTTGACCAATGAGGCATTAGGAGGCTTGTACATGGAGGAGGAAGCACCTGAGAACATTTGAATCACTTTTAAAGGATGCAAGAGGCCCATCCTATCTTTGGATATTGTTGTGTGAGCATGGGATATTTGTCACAGGCCTTTTGTGACCGTACTGGATAAAGTGAAGAGAATACAGAGAAAATGACCCAAAGCCCTGMTGTTGTTGAGCCACTGAATTAATGTCATCTAGAAGTCTCCTGCCTTCCAGCTTCTTCTGTAAGATAATAAGAGTCTTTATTGAACAACGTCTAGTTGGTCATTCTGTTACTGAAGCCCAAAGCACAACATAAATGCTTATGGTCCCTAAAGAGCTTACAGGGCTCCTGGGAAGACAAGGAGCACGCAGATACCCTTAGGACACCACATGGCAGCAACAGCATTGCTATGGGCATGTCCACGTGCTGGGAGAGAGGACTGAGGTCAGCTGGGAAGTGGGGGGTCCTAGTCTAGGGGGATTCTCAGAGGAGGAGGCAGGAGGGTAAGTAAGGGTGGGCTTGGATCGCAGCAGGGATTCAGGGCTTGCACTTTGGAACCTGCTGTCATTTACTAGCAGCGAGACCTTGGGACTGACTTAACCTTTCTTGGCCTCAGTTTCCTCATCTGTTAAGTGAGGATAGTAATAAGGCTTAGTGAGGATTTGAAAAGACATTTAGCACGATGATTGGCACATGGCAAGCTGTCAGATGAAGGCATTGTGATGATTATTCCTGAGGCACGAGCCACTGTCAGGACTCTACCTGCAGCCACACTCTGGCCAGCTGACGCCCTCTCCTCTCTCTGTGCATCCAGGCTCATGGGGGTATGAAGGAACCATTCAGCAAATGTCTGTCTTCAGGACCCCTGTGTTTCTTTTTCGCTTGTGTTATGATCTTAGCCTTTATGCTTCTCGGTTTCAGGGCTCGGCTCTACCCTGGAACCCAGACTTCTGCCTTCCCATTGGTCCTGATAGGGCCTCAGATTGTGTCTTTTTTTTCTGGTCCTGCATTTGGACCCCAGGTCTTGCAGCTCTTGAGATCCCCTTCTGACCTGCCTACTTGGGTGCTTTGAATATAAAACCTCCCTGCTAAGTTGCCCCCAGGCATCCAATGGATGCTTCTCCACCTTCTGCCCCAGATCTGCGCTGGAAAGAGGGTGGGCAGGCTCCAGTGGGGAAGGCCGCGGAAGCCTCTGCCTGATCTTTAATTCATGGGGATTTTGCACTTCCTGACTTGAGCAGGTCATTACAGTGTGAAAAGTTGAAATGGCTCATCATCAGGAAAGAACACCACTCGGCTGCCTGCTGATTGACTGACGGGTGGACTGGGTTGCAGATGGCGGCAAGGCTGCCACACCTCACTGGCTTTTGAGCCTCTGAGAACTTTCCCTATGAGCAGGCAAGCAGGCCTCCAGCTTCTCAGGCTGTGGGTATCTGTGGGAAGCCTTTCCCCACTCTTCTTCTGTTGCTATTTTATTTTTTTAATATTCAGGTAGACTTGACATAAAGTGTGGCAAGGGAGGCCGAGGCAGGAGGAACACAAGTTCAAAGCCAGCCTCAGCAACTTAGTGAGGCCCTAAGCAACTTAGCAAGACCCTGTCTCTAAATAAAAAGTAAAAAAGGTCTGGGGATGTGGCTCAGTGGGTAAGGGTCTCTGGGTTCAATCCCTGGTGCCACAAACCAAAACCAAAACCAAAACCAAAACCAAAACCAAAACCAAAATTAATATAAAGCTCACAAGTTCTTAAATGTCCGGTATACTTCATGTACTTTTCTCTATGTAGACACTTGTGTGAGCGCCGTCCAGAGCAGGATATGGGGCGCTTCTCTCACGCCGGAGGGCTTCCTCATCCCCTACCCACCAGCAGCCCCTCGGTCCAGCATGTGTTCACAGAACTCAGTAACTCCTCTTGAACTTCACATGATGCAGCCTCGTACAGCACACGCCTGGTCCCATCAGTAACTTCACTTCTTTATGGATCAATTTCACACAGCTGTCCGTCACTCTGAGGGTGGGCAGGGCCCTTCCCTGCTGCATACCACAAGTGACAGTCTGCCTTTTTCTCCCAAGATGGGAAGAACCCTCAGATATSTCTCCTCTGTCCAGGGTCAGCAGACTCGGCCTTTCCTCCAGGGAAAGTGACATTTCTTGGCTGTGTGACATTCTTGGCTCTTGCCATTGCAGGGCTCAGAGGAGCTGGAAACAGGCAAGGGGGCTGGGTATCCGGTACAAAGAAGTGGCCTGAAGTGAGGACAGGCAGAGGGGCCGTAGGGAGGGAGTGGTCAAGCTGGAGACCCTGGAGAGGTCTGTGCCGTAGCTGGAGCTCATGGAACGTCCAGGGGTGCCTGGAGTGCTGATGGCCAGGTGTGGGCTAGTTAGGCAATAGCCTGGGTCCCCCCAACAATGAGGTGGACAGGACCCTCAGATGGGGCCCCGCCCCTGCTGACTGACAAGGCTCATCTCAGCAGAAGTCTGGGAACTTTTATTAGGAATCCCTGGGTGAGCAGGTGGCATGCCTGCTCCACAGGTTGGAGGGAGACCCAGGGTCTCCTGTCCCAGGTGCTCACTGTCTAGACC